GTTGCGTGAAACAACTAATCACGTCGCTCGTTGATTTTGAGCCATTCTTTGCAAACGAACTGGGCTTGTTTCCCCCTCCCCCAGGCATGTGGTTCATGCAGAAGCTGAAGAAGTCTGGTTCGTTGCTCCAGCTGGCGATGAAAGACGCGTCGGATGTCAGACGGTCGTTCATGTTCCGCCTCAGCCAGAAGAGCAACCTCGAGAAGTTCAAACACGTGTTGTTGTGCGGCAGCGCGCAGGATCGATACGTGCCGCTTCATTCTGCTCGTATAGAACTCTGCAAAGCTGCCGTACGGGATTCGACCGAACAAGGTAATCGAACCGCCGTTTACTTCCTTCCCCATTTGTATCCGAGGTAATACGATTTTATTGAACGAGCGATCTCGAGGAGGCTTCCACCAGGAGGAAATCCTACACTCTTTCCCTTCGTCGGAGAGTTCCATTTCCTTGCTGGAGGAAGGAACTTGAACCATGTTAGATTTTTCATTTCCAACCTTTTAATTCAGTCAAATGAAATAACGACGTTGCGTAAGAAAGAAAAGGAATTGAACGAGAAAAAACAAGGACAAGGACGGTGCCATAGTACAGAGACGAGCAAGTCGAGAGTATTAATTTATAAATATAATAATTACACTGATACGTATAATAACATTATATAAAAAAAAGGAAAAGAATTGAAGAAGAAAACAAGATCAAAAACAATGCCATAGTAGAGAGATGAATAAGTCGAGGGTATCAATTTATAAATACAATTACAACGACGTGTAATAAGATAAATGTAGTTGAAACTAATCTACTAAGGTAAATTGACATGATAAATACATAAAGTACGTAAATAGAAAGTAGGTGGAAAGAAACTAGCGCTGGTGGTGTTAAAGAGGATTTTATGTATTTAAAAAAAAAAGAAAAATACAGAAAGATCGGAAGTTGATTTTGAGATTCGACTCGAGTTAAGTTGTTAATTTATGATATATATTTGCAGGTGCAGCGTATCGCGAGATGGTGCACAACATCCTGTACCCGGTGATGTCCACCTCGGGGGTGAGTTTAGTGAGGTACGACGTGCACCACGCGTTACCCGCGACGGCGAACGCTCTGATCGGCCGAGCCGCGCACATCGCCGTCCTCGATTCCGAGCTTTTCATCGAGAAGTTCCTGCTGGTGGCCGGCCTGAAGTACTTCAGATAAGGAACGGACTGCCTGGCGATTCAAAGGGAGCAGAGGAGAAAGAGGAACTAGAAGTCTAACACTAGCGAATTAAAATAGCCAGCCACAGGGAGAGATGAACGAAGAAAGAAGATTTTAAAAGAAGAGAAGAAGATCGGAAGGAGCAAAAATACGTTCGAGAGCGGATTCTCGTAACTCTCCGTGTCGTCTGCGTGATCGCATTTAGGGTTAATTAGCGCGTCCTGCTCGATAATTGCCCCGCTTCTAACTGCGAAAATCCTTTCGCCGGTCGCTTGCTCCCGTTTCTCTTCTTCCAAACGATCGACACCCGTCGACGAGATCGTTCGTCTAATCGATCAGAAGCGGGGCAGTTCCGACGTTTTTACTAAGAAGCGAAAATTAAACGAAACGTCGTCGATCAGTTTCTCTCGTACACACACACACACATACACACACAGAGTTAGGTTTCTAAGTGTCATCATCCCCGATCGAGGCGCGTCCCTCGTCCTCCATTTCGACGATTCATATTTCGACGGCCATCGAACGATCGTAAAACGAATGGACCTACCGACCGCGCGAATGAACCGGGCCTACTTCCGCCACAGCAGGCGAGAGAAAGGAGACAAAGAACGACAAGGAATCGGTTGAGACGAGCTGGCTTGTTCAGACGAACAACACGATCTCCACTCGCGAATTAAACGGGAATTGAAACGTACGATATCTAAACAGAAACTGGAATTGAAACTTTCTCTTCGTGGTGATAAGTGTGATATATATATATATATATATATATATATATATATAT